TCTAACTGCTGTGGCTGTCTGGCTTTGGACTTCATTTTTGTGGCTTGATTCCTGCCCTGTTTACTGGATAACTCCATGACAAAAGATCTGCTTGCATCCCAGGTGCTAGCTTTCTGTCATTTTAACTATGTCTTATGTGTGAAGGCTCGTGAGGCTGTGGAGATGCGTGCCCAGGTGGAGAGGAAGATGGCTCAGAAAGAAAAGGAGAAACATGAGGAAAAGCTCCGAGAAATGGCTCAGAAAGCCAGGGAGAGAAGAGCAGGGATCAAAACCCATGTTGAAAAAGGTACATTTCTTTGTTAATAAGATGCTATGGGGGTTTTTTTAGCACTCTCTGAAGTGTGGGTTTGCAGAAATAACCCAAGAACTTACACTACCTAAATATCAGCTGTAATTTCTATGACATATTTTCTTCCTGTCTTTACTTGATCAGCCAGTGAATTTGGTTAATTCACTGGCTGGTTTGATGGGATCTGAATTTGAACCCCACAGCAGTATGTCAGTGTATACAGGTTTAGGACTTTGTTGAGAATTTTAGAGTTGTTAATGGATCAGTACAAGTAATGGCTTTTCATGGACTGTTCCAATCTAATTTTTTTTTTTTTTGAAAAGATTTGTTGCAGATGAAGAGCAACTTTGTTTACAAGAACTAAACCATCTTTAAGTTTTCAAAGATGGTAAATGCAATATTCTGTCTCTTGTGTTGTTATAATTGGTCTTGCAGAACTGTAGTTCTGTGGGCCACTAGGCCCAAAAACTGCTAACCTAACTAAATCATTGTGATAATGATTGAAATGACATTTCAAAGATCAAGATGCTGAACTTACAGAGCAGTTACGATCTCTCGTTATTACTAAAAGGTGGAGGATATGGTCATGTAATGCCAAATCCTGCAGCTGGGATGGAGTAACCTCTTCCCAACAGGCTGGGGACTGGCCGGCTGGAGAGCCACTCTGTTGAAAAGGACTTGGGAGTGCTAGTGGACAATGTGCTAAACGTGAGCCAGCAGTGTGCCCTGGCAGCAGTAATGCTAAGGGCATACTAAGCTGCTTCTGTAGGATTGTAACCAGTAGGTCAAAGGAAGTAATCATTTCCTTTTACTGGTGACCTGTTAGACTGCATCTGGAATATTGGGTGCACTTACAGGCCCCCAGGTACAAGACAGACATTTATAAACGGGAGTGAGTTCAGTGGAGGGCCACCAAAATGGTCAGGGGGCTAGAGCGTCTGCCCAGTGAGGAGATGCTGAGAGAATGAAGCTTGTTCTGCCCGGAGAAGATAGGCTTTGGGAGGACCTAATGGAAGCTTTCCCATACCTACAAGGAGATCGTCAGGACTCTTCAGTAAGCTGCACAGTGGAAGAATGAGACAGTGGTCAAAAGTTGAAGCAGGAAGTTCCAACTACATGCAAGGAGAAAAATTTTCAGCATGAGGACAAGGCTTTCCCCATCTGAGTGGGCAAAGCCTGAGCAACCTGGTTTGAATTCAGCATTGGAGGTTGAGTTAGAGACTCCCTTCCAACCTGAGTGATTCTGTGATACTGAGTCACAGGACGTTCTTCAAGGACTTAGATGCCTGCATGTTTGAACAGTATTTTTACACTTCAGAGATAAAAGCATGATACGATGATCTGTAGGTGTTTTAGGGTATAAATTCCTAGATGGACAAGTATTCCAAGCTCTTGGAAAGTTGAGAAAATGTAGTTGTTGGATATGTCTTTTAACTCTCTTGTCAAGGACAGTTAATTGCTTGTGGCATAAGAAAGCTGTGGCTTTCCATGTGTTCAGTTTGTTTAAAGTGTAACATTTTAAACAGTGCTAAGGATCACTTCTCTTCTGTAAAAGAATACTAAATTGAATCACTGTGCCAGTGTCTGCCAATTATGTGGCATAATTAATTGAGACTTCAAATATTTGTCTGTAATGAGCAATCTTGCATTTATTCAGAGGATGGCGAAGCTAGAGAACGAGATGAAATCAGACATGACCGGCGCAAAGAGAGACAGCATGACAGAAATCTTTCCAGGGCAGCCCCTGACAAAAGGTGAGTCACAGAAGAAAGCTGCTTTATTCCTGTACTGGCACTGGCTTCCCCACTAGGGAAACTGTTACACGGGGCTTTCTCCTTTTGCTTGATGCGAGTGCCTGAATTTTACCTTGTGGAGATATTCACTGGTTCACACTGGGAACTGGTATTCACCATTCATTCATTGTATGAAATGGTATTACTGTGTACTGCAGTACGCTCTTCTAAATTTAGAATTTTCCATATGAATGGAGGAATGGGGGGTTGTTGGTTTTAGGTGGGTTTTTCTTTAGCAGAACTTCAGTATATTCAGATTTAATTAACATGTTGACAGCAAAGGTTGAAGCCTGGATCCTATAACTTCGGTGAGACCAGAGTATCATTAGTGGCTTTGTTTCTTGAAGCTGGTCATTTGAAGTAAGCTTAGATTTATGAGTGTAGGCTGAAGTACCTTATTTGCCCAAGCCAGTGAGATTTCTGAGCACAAATCGTTTCTGGAGGTTTAAAATCTCTGATATCTTAAAATTAGATTGCTCGGCCTTCCCAGAATATAATTACACTGATTGTTGCAAAAAATGACATTTTAGACCAAGTCAGCTTGATGTAAATTGCAGATAGTGGAAGGCAAATTTAAATGTCATGCCCAGCTGAACATAACTTCCCAAATGTTTCCTTTGCCAGGAGACAAATTTTAAATGTTACCTAGTAAGGAATGGCAACAGTCTGGCTCCTGAGGCAAACTGTTAGCAACTAATACAGGATTGGGTTGCAGTTGAGCATGTCAACAAATATGGTTTACTGACCTAATAAAACCTGAAATTTTTAATTCAGGTCAAAGCTGCAGAGAAATGAGAACAGAGATATCAGTGAAGTTATTGCTCTAGGGGTACCCAACCCCAGGCCATCCAATGAAATCCAATACGACCAGAGGCTGTTCAACCAGAGCAAGGTAAAAATACCTTTTCACAGTTGTGTGGCTTTCTATGAGAACATGCTCATCCTTCCTTAGTGGGTATGGCTAGAATACTAAAGGGACCCTGTTCTCATGGCTGGTGTGGATATACTCTGGAAGGAGTCTCTACATAACTGGTTAGGAAACTATTGATCTCCTTTGTCCATAGCTGGTGCAACAAAAATTGAATATTCTGAATGTGTAACTGGATTAAAGTGTTTTTGTTGTGTTTTTTCTCACTGGGGAGTGGGGAGAAAGAAGCTCTTTTGCCTTCAAGCTGCAGTGACCTCCTTTTCTTCTTTTCTACAAATGTACTGACTAAGGGAAATCTGCTCTGGAGAAGCAAGTAAATGCTTTCTATTCCCATTATTGGTTATGTTAATAATCCTTCTGAAGATATAAATAGTTAACAGCAACATTTATTCTCCCTGAACTTTATATTATTCAGAGATGAAAAAGTAGATTAGGCTTCAGAAAGTCCCTGAATAGACCTGCAGTTTGTCAATCATTCTTTTTCACGTCTCCAATGAAAGACTTGCAGGCAGAAGGGAAAGTTGGTGAATCAAAAGCGAACAAGCAGGCACTTCTACTTTCACAGTTTACATAAGCCTCTGTGTGATTTGGATCAGTCAACTTAAATAATTTTTTTACATAAATTCTGAATAATATACATTTCTGTACGGTTGTACTTGGCTATTACAGACAGCTGTACTTGCAGGGCACACTGAAATGATCCATTATTCTGAAATACGAATGGCCTGTAATCCTTCCTGTTGCTTTCTGGAAGAGTGGAAGTGGCCCTGACCGAGGCTTGTAATGATTCTGTCATGTTCTCTGAACTGAATCCCAAACCCAAAACCACTCACATCCTATTGAAGTGCTTGAACTCACTTGAAATCAATAGTGAATCACACAATACCATCTTTGTGTATCTCTGTGACACCATCAGTGTATCTTGATGTTAAAATAAATCAGCTTAAGTTTTGCAGACTCGTTTGTGTTATACTGCTGTTCTTCACAGGGTATGGACAGTGGCTTTGCTGGAGGAGAGGATGAAATTTATAATGTTTATGACCAGCCTTGGAGAAGTGGCAAGGATATGGCCCAAAACATCTACAGGCCAAGTAAAAATGTGGATAAGGACATGTATGGTGATGATCTAGAGGCTCGAATAAAGACCAATAGGTAGGAAAATAAAGTTAAGAAGTATTCTTAATTAGTACTCTGAAGTTACAATCAACTGAGTGTCCCCTCTTCTCCTGCAGGTTTGTTCCTGACAAAGAGTTTTCTAACTCAGATCGTAACACCAGAGGGAGGGGCAGAGATGGGCCAGTTCAATTTGAGGAGGATCCCTTTGGTTTGGACAAGTTTCTGGAAGAAGCTAAGCAACATGGTGGTTCTAAACGGCCATCGGATAGCAGCCGCCCTAAAGAACACGAGCATGAGAGCAAAAAGAGGAGGAAGGACTGAATGCCTCTGCTCCTTGAGAGGTAGAGAAATGGACTACAAGCTTGGACTTAATGCAGAAGGCATTTTTAATACCAGGTGTATAGGGGGATGGCATTGTAACGCAGCAGTTCACAACTCTTGTTGTGTGGATATACATATACACACTAATTCTACATAGGACAGCTACCCCTGGAGAGTGGAGAACAGAGACCACTTTGAAACATTTCACAAGGGAATTACTCTTTAGCAAGTGCTCTGACTTTGCTGATTCCTGGTTGCCCAGCATCTCAGGGTAAGAATGTAGCCCCTTCCTACAGCTTTAGTTTTTGTAGGTAGCTAAAGCTTTTACTTCATCTGTTAAAAGCTTTCCTGCTGTATATAATTACTGTCTTATGCTGTAATGGATGCTAGGGAGTTTATGATTCAGTGTTTCTTTAGTGTGGCTATACAGTTTATTTGAACAAGGAGGGGAAACAGCTGGATTCTGTTTTAAAACAAATACTCACTCATAGTTTCTCAGTAATCTTTATTTTCATTTCTTTACATTTAATGAAATAAAGCCTCCTTCCACCGCTCACTCACTTTGATTCTTTCTTTGACTGCGTCTTCTAAGGGGCTGCTGTTTGAGAGTGAGCTGCAAACAATGGAAATTATTCAAATTGGTTAGGCAAGGCAGCTTGATATTTTTCATTTCTGATCTTCTAAAACATTCATATAGAAAGCAGAAGATGCGTTTATAACCGGTTCAGTTTCATGAGCCATAACCACAAATGCTAAGCTCCTGAAGAGAAAGTTGAATGTAATTTGCACAGCAATTGCTAGTTGTATCAGCAAAATGCATCTTAAAAGCTTGTGCTTTCAAGTGCAACTAATAGAAGGTAACTGTCTAAACCTAGCCTAGAACAAAGTGGGAGAAGTGCTCATGTTATTTTGCTTCTAGAGAAGCTTGCATTTTTGAAGAAATGAAGAAAGCTAACTACTGCCTGCCTTCTGCTTTTTATGTCACTATAAAGAAGCCTCTTAGCTCTTGCACCTCTTGTAAGAGTATAGCCCTCAAAGCCTAGGCAGTTAAGTGAATGTGGCTATCTTACAGCTTCAAGAATAAAAAGCAGCAAAATAATTTCCAAGAAATTGACACTAAATACTCATCTATGCTATTCCTAGTACTCACTTTGATAATTGCATGCAGATAACATCCTCGTTATTTTCAGCACAATTTATGAGGGATCAGCCTATTGCCTGGCTTGTCACAGTTTAAGATTGAAGTCTGCAAACCCACTCCTTAATTTCTGTTTCCATTTTTGCACTACAGCTGTAACTCACAGGGCAGCTCTTCTTAGGAATAGGTATTGAAGTAACCACAACCAATGAAGTACCAAGCAGCACCATGAACTATGTCAAGCAAAATACTTTATCACAAATCAACATACTGCATCCCTGAAGTCTCTTGCCAATTTACTCTTAACATCTCCTAGCATTGAAAGACTCAAAACAAGAAACTAGTTGTCAGAAGGACATTGAAGAATTCTTATTAATTATTCTAAGACATGAATTGATCATGTCTGTTACACCAGCCTTCTTGTTGCTCCTGGTTTCACTCTGTACTACTCCGTCTAAGTAGCTAGGTCAGCTGAAGCACATATAAGTCTACAAGAAAATCCCCCTAGTAATTTGCCCCTACTAGATGCAAGTTTCTAATGATTTTGATCTGGTAATTTATTAATGGTTTTGGCAGCCATTGACTCACTGTCTTTTTATCCTTATCTGTCAACACCACTGCATGCTAAATGTTTGGAAAGCAGTGGGATGGCCATTTCTTTGCTCTATTTATTTGCTGCAGTGAAGCTAGATGATGCAGCTGTCTGGCTCCAACTGACCAGGCAATCACAGACAGCGTTGTATGGGTACTAGACGAACGGTTTTTAACTGATGGTGTACAGTGTCTCTTGATACCATACACTAATGCACTGAGATTGCTAAAGTGTCATTTCTTCCTTTATTAACATTTAAAATGTTAGAGACAGCAAATAAGAAGAAAAAAAGCTACACTAAAGCTAATTTAAAGTTATCTTGAACACATGAAAGCAGGCAGCTGACTCCTCCTGTACGAAATGATAGCTGAAGAAAAGAAGAAATTTTCACTGAAGTTCAAAGCTTAGCTTTACATTCTCTGTCATTTTCCCCCTGACACCCAACATCCAAATTAGATGTTGGAATCCACCTGCAGAAACCTGTATTAGAAATAATAACTAGTTGCATGGCAGTTCCTGAACAGTTTTACTGCATTCATATTCCTTTGGCTTAGCATAGCAGGAGGCTTTGATATCTGGTGTGTGATCTCTGTGGTATCTACAGGATCTCAGACCCTAACTAGTGGAGTTGAGAGGGGGGAATAAACGAAAGTGATTTAAAAAAACATTAAAAGTACACTAAGTGGCAAAATGTTTAATCATTTGGAATGAGTATGGCAATATTTTGATGTTACTGTATCCAACCAAAGGCAGAATTAAAGAGCTCAACTCATTACATTACCTTATTAAAGGAATTGGCACATTACCTTGGCACCTTCAAGTATGTGGGAGTCCTTCTGAAACACATTCTGAACATCTTGCGGAGTTGAGAATTTAATCCAGCAATAACGTCTGTGAAAGCCTGTCTCTTTGTCCTAGTTACCAGTTTGAAAAAAATAAAATCCAATTACTGTAGAAAATATTCACATAGGCTGTTAAAAACTTTATATGGATATTCAATTTACGGATTCAGAAATTATCAGAGAAATTGGCACACTTGCTGTTTCAGAAGTTTTTCACACTTCAAGACATTTACTCTCATTGACAGCATGCGGGGGCCTAGCAGAGGCTGTTCTGCATCCTCTTCTCTCAATTTGAGTCCAGCAATCATAAAAAAATTTAAGATTTTAAGTTACAGTTGAAGACTGAAATAATGCATAGCCGGTTGTTTCAAACTGCAGTAGTTATCTACTATTAAGCCAGTCACAACACCACTGACATTTAAATGGCTGCCTGATTTGAAAATAAGCCTGCCACAGTACTTGAAAAGCATTCAGCAAGATAAAGCAGCTGCTTAAGATACTAAGAAAGCAGGCTGCAATTCGAGATGACAAGCACTAACTGCACTGAACAGAAAAAAAAGTTATTTTTAAGAATAATTTGCCAGTCGGAAAAGACAGTTGTCAATAAAAGGAGATAATGCAGAAAAGCCAGGTCTACCAAAGTGCCTTTTATCCCAACTGTGACCCCCATCAGAGTTCACAACAGCTCTGCCACTGAATTCACTGATCATCAGGCATGACTGGCAGCACTTCCAAACACCAGTGAAGTTTTCACCCACAAGGTACCTTAGTCACACCACCCGGTTTCAGTATCCCAGTGATGTCTTAATTAGGGTGTCCTATGCTGCTGGCAGATTTTTATACCTCTGGCTGTTTTAAGCATTAATGAACGCTCCTAAAGTAATCACTGAATCAAAACATGATGGAGGCAGGTTTATGGTAAGCTGCCAGCCTTCGCAATGAAGCAATGTGTTCTGTCCTGGGCCGGAGGAACAGAGCATGGCAGGCAGACACCTAAGCTTCAGTGTTCAGAAATAACCAGACTGTTTCAAACTATCTTTCTCCATTTCCAAACTAGTCCTCAACTGATAGTGAACCCATCAGCTCACTAACTGAAGTTCACTACACACTGAGCTTAATTACTTCACATGGAGAAACATGAGCAGGCAGGTGAACCTCTACTCCTTCAGCAATGACCTGCAACTTATCCATAACAGAGTGGGAAAGGAAGACTTTTTTTGACTGTTCATCTCTGAGAAACTGCACTAGATGCTATTATCCCTGACCTACATGCTCAGAAGATAAATAACCTAAACGGCAGAGGCATGAACAGCTGACAGCTTGGGAGCATCCTGAAAAGGTTTCAGTTTTTGTTAGCCCCGCACAGCAGGAAAAGATCGTAGGTTCATACCCACATCTTTAGATTTTTTAGGCCAGTGAGACCAGGCGCATAAACGCTTTATTCTTTGTCAGAAGAAAGATAACACGATGATAGAGAAGCTCAAAGCACTTTTATGTTAATTATTCAGAAATAGCAGCATCAACAGGATCTGAGAGATGTGCTTTCTAAAGCTCTTTCAAAGCCAATGGAAACCACTAAGTTTCAATGAGGCCTACAGCTCGCAGGCACCCATTGGGATAAGGAACTAAGGGTGGAGGGCACCGAAAATCTGACTAGAGTACAAGAAGAGGCTTCCAGAAAGCAGCTCCGAGGGAGCGGGGGAGCCGGCTTCGGGGCAGGGCCCCAGCAGCAGGCCCAACCCTGCCGGGGCCCGGCGAGCCCCAGCCGGCGGCTCTTCCCCGTTTTACCGAGAAGACACGAACAGCGGCCTGGAGGATGAGCGGGTACTCACAAACGGCAGCTGGCACCTCTGTACTGACCCGAACTGGGAGAAGTACTCCTTCAGCTCCTCTGTGGGGGCAACGCACACCTGGTTACACGGGCCCGGCACCCCAGCCGGCGGCTCTTCCCCGTTTTACCGAGAAGACACGAACAGCGGCCTGGAGGATGAGCGGGTACTCACAAACGGCAGCTGGCACCTCTGTACTGACCCGAACTGGGAGAAGTACTCCTTCAGCTCCTCTGTGGGGGCAACGCACACCTGGTTACACGGGCCCGGCACC